TCTGTAAGCTGCTTAGAAATGCCTTGAGACCTGATGCAATTCTTGGTTCTTCAAATATTTCAGTTTGGCTGTGCTGTTAGTACATAGCACTTTAGSGCAGCGATGGTGGCCAAGAAGCCCTAGAATAGCTTAACTGTTTTCCTTTCTTCATATCTATGCTTCCCAGCCCCTCAAATCCTTTCAAAAAGGAACCAGCCTTATGTACTACTTTGTCATTCTCAGGAACTGTTCCAATGCTTTCATCAAAGCAACAGATTCAATGATGACTTGCATGAAAAATAATTACAGACTAGAAGACATTTTGAAAGTTGTTTTGGCCTATTATGTCATACTGTATTAAATATCAGGTGAAACAGACATTAGATTTTATTCATTTACATAATGTCATTCTATGCCTTTCTCCTATTCTTTTCCACAATCAGTGTTACTTTCTGTATGTATATTATAATAACCTTAGTAGTTTCATCTAGAAGCCAAAGAAGGCAAAGAAAATGAAACTGAATTTTTAAAAACTCTATTTTGGAGGCATTTACTCACATTTTCACAGTCTTGCAAGTGATATTTGCAGATGCTTCCATATGTTTATCAGGAACAGTAGTTCTGCTGAAGTGAGTCATAGTTGTATCCATATAATTTCATGATTTCAGTACTTAGGAAGGGGCAGAACCCCTGACCACTTTTGTCAGATGAACCCACTAAACAGAAGCACATCCTGCTAAGACAGAAATATGCAGTCTCAGAATACACCCTTTTTTGTTCAGAGATCATTGGGAAGCCCAAAGTCAGCTGTGGAAACTTGCTTCTTGGTCGTGTTATGATAAGAGCAAGGCATGAATTTGGAATGAAGGACATGAGTCTGGAATGCCGGTGACAGACTAGGGAGGCTCTCTGAACCATCACAGTGAAACTGTGCAGGCATTATGACAAAAATACAGATTCTGGATATGAAATTTCTCAGACACCACCAGGATGTCTTGTCTTTTTTCTAAAATGCAGTAAAATTCATTTTCACCTATGTATCTTATTGCATTCATGCTCTCTAGGCAAGCTTGCAATGGCTGAACTTCAGATCTGTATAGCTTGATCCTTCAGCACCATGGCTAGATACTTCATCTGTATTGGGTATTAGYGCTTCCAGTAGCACCATGGTGTGCTGCTGGGGGTCTACGGACAGCAACTGCTCACTGCAGATTGCAGAACTTGGGTTCTAATGCTGGGAAAAAAATAAAAGGACTGGTTTTAGACATAGAGTCATAGAATGTCTTGAGTTAGAAGAAACCCATAAGGGTTGTTAGGACTAAYTCCCTGCTCCTTCCAGGACTACAAAAACTAAACCTCATGACTAAAAAAAATCATATGTGTAAACTGTTTTATCAATGTTAATCTGACCTTTTATTAAATCAGATGAGGTTCAACTCATGTTCTGTAATGAAGTTGCCCATTTACAATTTTATTTGTATGACTATATACCAGAGCATTATTCTGTAAAAGACTTTGGTAGTGTAGAACCATCATAGGAAGTTTAAACTTACAAGAATATGTTTGTGCATTTTCTTCTGGAGATGCTGGTCTTGACTGCTCTCACTTCCTCCAGAAAGAATAAGCTGTAGGTGGGTATAGCCAATCAGAGGGAAGTGTGCTGATAAGCTTGGACATAAGAAATACAAGTATCCTCTCCAAATGTGGCCTAATCAGGCAGCTCCCCAGGGACTGTACCGCTATGCTTCAGTTTTTTTCATTAAGATCAAGTGGTTGTTTCACCTGTGTCTTCATCTGGTCATACCCAGGCATTCTAAAGGCCAGGCTGTCTCATCACAGCCAAGACCAAGAAATGTTCCTTTCCCACTGAGTAACTTCAGACGTACCAACTGGAACAGCTGAAGGATGTTKCTTAAGTCAGCTGTAAAGCAGCAGCACAAGATAGTTCCTTGATGTTTGCTGGATATTGCTTTGCACAGAGCAGCTTTTACTCAGAATAAACATTACTCTGCTCTTTGCGAGTTAAATCTAGGGAATTCTGAACCACTTCTTAAAATTACACTGCTTACAAATTATTGGAATCTGTCTGGAGATCACAATCAAAACTTTGCTTTGAAAAAAACTTTGACGCACATTCAATATGTGGAATTTAGGGTACAGTTGAATACACTGGGTATGCAGAAAACTTAAATCACATCCACGTCTTCTGTGCCTTGTAATGAGTTCTGTCAAGATGGCAAAACATTTACAGGGCACTTCAACCTAGTGTTTGTGCCAAAAGTATGGAGATACTGGTCAGGTATGTGGACTTCATAGATATTTTTTTTTTAACTTTGGATGAGGAGATTCCATACTCATTTTCTTAAACACATTCACGTAAGAAAAGAATTACAGTTTCAGGGCTGCTACACTTCTGACCGCTTCCATTCTCTGATGCACACSCTTTACCATACAATCAAGCAGTTCCTAAGTATTCTTAACTTCTGTGGTTACAAAACCCTGCTCAGTGAAAGCTCTAACAGGACAAGCTCAGCTTGGAAAATATCTATAGCCCCTGATCATGACTAGTACTCAGAATGGCCTACTCTATACTCCACTGTTTGAAGGTTCCTCATATAGCTCATAGTCATTGTCTCTGTTTTAGGAGAAAGCCAGAACTGGTCAACCTACTTAGACTTGAATCCCTGATTAACAGTTTCCTTAAAGATGATTGGAGTTTTCTGTGAAAGCAACCTCTCCTGAAAATTATTCACTTTTGTTGTTTTTAATTGAATTCTCCTGCTCTCTTTTCTTCTTGTCCTCTATTGAGCTCTATCTTGTAACAGTTTCTTTTGAAGAAGCTAAACTAATCAGGTAAACTAAAGAGCTTTCTTGTCTTTTTTTTTTAATCAACAAGCAGTATCTATTTTAGAGAATAATTTAATTATTCTGTGACAACACTTGCACACGAGAGATAGATTGCAGTGCTTTGACTAGAGCGTGAAGATGTCAAACTTCACTCAAGTGGAATGAGCATCTAAGCTTTGAGAGTTCTGAAACCTTTGTACAAACTGTTCCTGATTAGATAGTAATTGATTAGTCAGTTGTTGGAGAACTAGGAGAGAGTGAGCTGTRTAAGGATCACTAAACTTACTTCTAAAGGGCTGTAGTTTAAAATAGCATCAGGCTTGTTTGATTAGGGACTTATGTTAGGGAGAGCACTGTTGCTCCCACTCAGACCTCTCATTAGAAATGATTGCCTCGTAGGGGAGTTAGTTGGCTCTTTCCATCTATGGGTCTACATCCGTAGATTAAACCAAAATATTTGTTTTGAATGACATAATTTAATTTTTTWAATGTTGGGAAAGAAAAAGGCCAATGGAGAGTACTTTAATACCAAATGTTTCCTAAGTAAAGGAAATTTCAGCTGTTTTTCTGCTTCAATTGGTTGCTTTAAATTCAGACTATTGAATCTGATTAATTTAGTTAAAAATCTTTCTCAGAACAGAAATGGTTTCTAACCAAAATGTAAGTGATTTACTTTTAAAATACTTGGATTTGATTTGAGTTGGTAGTTGGATTAATTGAATGACAATAATAAAATAATAGAGTGCTCTAGCTTTATCAGTTGTATTTGAAGCAAATTATTCATATTTGGTATACAGCTTAATAATTTTCTCTCTTCTCCAATTTGCTTTGTTAATTTCACTGAAATTGGCCCTGTTACTTTAGTAATTATTTTCTGACAGAATATCTCATCTGGGATATTTAATTTTCAGCAAGGAGTGGAATCCTACTATAAAACATTGAACTGGGACTGTTTAATTATATGACAGATCCTCTTAAAATTATTTTCAAAAATGATTTCTGGTTCTGAATCAGATTTTTGGGGTTTGATTTTTTTKGGGAAGAGGTGGGAGGTGCTTGTTTGTTTGCTTGTTTACTTATTCAGTTTGTGTGAAGGCTTCACTATGTATAGTTTCACTTTTCTAAAAAATGTTCTATGTAACTTGTCATAAAATAATACAGTTTCTTTAATTGCAAGTAATTTTGTTAGGGACTTACACACTTAATTTTGTGTTTGAAATAGAAATGTATCTGCTTGCAGTWATTCTTAAAGCACATTGAAAATCTCCTTTCAAATGGTGTAGTAATATTTAACAGGAAGTATCATAGTTTTGTTGCATCAGGAAGCCAAGATACTTGCTTAATAAATTCTATTCTCATTTTTTTGTTTTGAGCTATTATTCTGGAATGCATTGAATTTTTTGTTGATGCCTAAGAAAGTTACAGTGATTACTGCAGTACTAGCAAGCACCTTGAGAAGATAGTGTTCCGTTTGTTGCCAGATGATACTGTGTTTAAGGAGTGCTACTGTTTGGAGTAAAAGAAGGGATACCATCCAGATTGAATAAATAAAAGCAGATGTAATGGAACATTCAGCTTTACTGCTTTGTCTTTTTTCTATAGTGGGTGCTATAGGATCTGTTTGCAAATGGGAAATWCATTTTTTCTTGCAGCTTAAGCTTCTTATAAAATGACAGACTTAAAAAAATACGTTTTGAAAAGTATTATGGTTGTCTATTACTGTCTTTATAAGTGAAAAATTTGATGAATCTGTAGAATTGTTCCCTCTTTGTTTTGTGACAATGTGACAACTSTGCAGTAGCCTGGCAAATCCAGGTAAATCCATCATAAATATTCTTCCGCTGAAATGTGCCTATGTTTTCCTTTTGTTCTCCTTTTCCCTTTTTCTCTTGTTCCTTGTTCCCAAGAGCATCTGTCCAGAGGTGATGATTTTTTTATGCCAGAGTGTCATGTAAAAGTGGGCATCTATTTATAAATTAAAGTCAGTCACAATTTGACTTTTACACTAGAAATGTGGGTCCTTCAGTTCCTGAGGAAACAATTCCTCTTTGCTACTTTGCCAATAACTGAATAACTTTGTTACAATATACCTTGCTGAAACCTTCTAAAACTATTTGATCTGTTATAATGGGCTTTTTCCTCCTTTCCTCTTATTTTTTCTCTTTTCTGTACAGGTGGTTTGTATTCACTCCTTTCTAAGCTTCTAGCAGAAAGGGAAGATGTTGTGCATGTGCATAAGCACAAGCCTACAGAAAAGGTAGAATCAGATCTTGTAGCAGAGATTGCTAATGTAGTCCAAAAGAAAGATCTTGCCAGAGAGATCGCAAATCATGATGAAAGGGACAATACTATTCTTGTCAGAGACAGAATTCACAAATTTCACAGACTACAGTCCACCTTGAGGCCACCAGAGAACAGACATTTCTCTTTACAACAGTCTAAACATGGTGATGGAAGCTGGGAAAAAGAACATAAAGGAGGTGGGTTAGGGGTTAATTTATACAATTAAATGCAGTTTAAGAGCTGTGATCCACATTAGCAAAATCTGAAGGGAATATCAATTGAGGCTTGGAAGTATTTTTTGTTACAGTTTTTCTAATTATTGAAATGTTCTCCCTCTAATTTGGAGGTGTTTCACTGGGGTTCTTTCCCCCTCCATGTRTGAAGAAAGAATGTATGCTGATGGCACAATGCCAGTAGTTTCTGAACAATATGGTAGTTTTTTTATACTCTAAAGACTTTTACTTAATGATTTTATATCAGCTACACTCAAACAAGGTAAACACAGGATATAGTAGTCACAGGAAGCGAAGAAATTAATACAAGTAGGTATTATAAAATGGTCACTGAAATAGTTTGCTGATTACCTTGACTTGGCAGATAGACAATTTTGTAAAAATTACTGCTGTAATTCTATCACATTTCTTCTCTCATTCAGAAAGAGTCGTAGTTAATCCTGAACAATTCTTCAGAAGTAAAATCCTCTGCATATTGACTTCAAATAGGGCTTGATTTTCCAAATGTTCTTGTACAGGCTGCTTTGTTATGCTAGAACTACAATTTATTCCCTTCAGGTTTCTATGACAGCAGAAACCGTGAAACTGTTGTTTGCATTTTGGTCTCTGTGATATTGACAGTGCTTAGCCTTACTTGCTAATGTGGAAAGCCAGATAATGCAGCATGTGACAACTGTCTCATAAAAGAAGCTGATATGTATGCATGAAAGCCATCTGTATGCATAAGCTGTAGCCACACATGCCTGCTTTTATGTTACAACCACCAAGATTGATGTTTCCAAGTACTTTCATATACATGTATCATCCAACATCCATTTTATTTTTATTTTTCTTCATAATGTTAGCATGTATTGTCTGCTTATGTGAAGTTCTCTTACAGTGTTCAAGCTTAGCAAAATCTTAGGTTTGTGTTTAAAAGAAAACTAAAGATGAGGACTTTATAATGTTATGCTGTGCTATCCAGTTAAGTGAGAGCTGGTCAAATTATTGGTAAGGGGCAAAAAAATGGAATGTTACTGGAATGTTACTATGTGCCTGACATACGCATAAATCATAAATAAATCCATTAACCTCATTGGAATTAAATGCTCAGGAAAGTAATGTGGATAGCATTTCTGCAAAAGGAATTTTTTCAGCATAAACTAATAACATGTGGTGTGTACAAGGCAAAGGAGAAAATTAATTTCTGTTTTCACCAATCCAGAGGAGGGAATATCAGTGAGATGAATAAATGGCTTATTTTGACAAAACTTATTGCATGAATTCTACCTACAGAAAGCATTTGCTCAAATATGTCAGTAGCCGTGTATTCATTTGGAGGAAATTTTTTGGTGGAGGACTAATTAATAAATGAAGTTTCAAATGATGCATTCTTGAGATATAAGRAAAAAGAAACCTGACATTTTCTCAATTAGCAATTTTTTGGGGTTGTTTCTTTATGTATGTAATACTTCTAACTACAGAATTACTGACCTGCTGAAGCTGTCACTACCATCTTTTGGCAAAAGAACTTTTGTAGCCATAAAATCTTTAAGAGTATATTTAGTTTCTTGTTAGGGGAGTATTTACATACTTAAGAACAAAATCTTCCATAACAAAACTTTCTTCAAGGGAAGAAGTAAATTTGTCTTGATTTAATAAAAAATTTTCATCAAAAACTGTATTGAATTGAAAAAAAATCTCCGTTTTCTTAGGACGAGACTGTTCAGTTAAACTAATTTCATTTATGTTAATTTATGTTTTAAAATAATTAATTAATTTATATTTAAAAAATAATTAAAATAGTTTAATATTTTTAGTCTTGCCAATATTCCAATTTTTAACAAGTAACTGGCCTGAAATAGTTGCTAATATAGTAAGTAAAGTTGTTGTAAATGTTAAAATTTTGTATACTACTGCACTTCCAGCACTGTTCGTAGCTTGTAACCCTGGACTGGTCACTAATCAGTCAAGTTGTTTGTTTATCATTGCATCTAGTACCATAATACTTCCTAAATAAGGCTAAGAGTGTAATTTTCCAATTTAAAAAGCCCTCCATGCAGTGCTTAGTTAAATTTGATATGATTCAAATGAGTATTCTGATGATAGGGAATAAATGCAACAACTTACATTTTGTAATGTTAGAAGCTGGAATGATTTTCCAGGGAATTCGGGAGACTAAATTACAATTGTGTCAATAAATATAARAGTTTAATTTTTCACTTGATTAGAGACTTCATTGCATGTTCTAAAGCATGTAATTCTTCCATTTTTTTTCTTTTTTTTTAATGAAAGAACATTGAAAGGTAGAACATCTGGCACTTAAATTTAGAGATCTAATTTACAATGAAACTGGTGTTCTTGTTTTTTCCAAGTAATTGTAAATTACTTCAGTGGGGAAAGCAATTTTCATTAGTGTCAGAGGAAATTGTTCCATGGACCACTTATTCTTTTAGGGAAATGGTAGTAAGTCTTAGATAAATTAAATCTAGATTTAGTGAGATTTTGTTAAAAGCTAGTTGCCTTGAGATAAACCTGTATAAAGGAMTTCCAGAATGAGACTTGCAAAAGAAAAAGAAGATGTAACGCTAATTAACCAATTTTGGAAAAATGTGGTAAAATCTAAAGATTATATTGAGGTTGGAGGTCTTGTGATGAGATTGTTCTCCCCTGTACATTCATTTTATTGTTTATTCCTTTAAGTATAAGCATTTTGTATTTTATAGTATGTGCCTTTCGAGAGACCAAATAGAGCCCAAAATTTAGTGTTCCTTTGTTCAGCTTTTTTTTTTTTCCTACCTTTTTTGAAAAGGCTCAGAGGCCAAGGGGCTTTATAACATGGAACCTAGACAACCTTTCTGGAACCTAAAGAGATATGGGATGAGCAAGTTAGGAAGTAGAAACTGAATTTGTATTCTTTTATTCCTTTCAAAATCCAAACATATCCATGAGTATACTTGGCACTGCACCTGCTGTAATCAGCTGAACTGTACAGAAGTATGAATATTTATCCATTTTTTAAAACAGCTTTTCCTTTAGCTTGGAGCTTTTGTTTAGCTAAAATTTCTACASTGCAGAATTTCTTGTTTTAGAAGTTTTTGATTACTGATTTGGATTCATTGCAGTTGTTGACAGCTTTAGGTTTCTTTTGGTTTTGTCACCTACTCTAGATATGATATCTAAATCTAAACACGTAAAGCATCCCCTAGTCTGTGGTAGGTTTTCGGCACTGGTTTTGTATTTCCCTTGTGTAGGTTGTAGAGAATTATTATCCCTCAGACTACATCTCTTCCAAGTGTCAGGTCAGGGTATTATCAGGTCGTTCAAAGATTTTATGCATGGTTTCCTGCTTAATTTTTCCTTTTGTTGGAAGATCTCTTCAATGTGAACCCTCTCAGACTTCTTGGATCTGTGATCTGTCTTGTTTCAAAGCAGGCTGCTCTGGCACTTTGTGAATTTGAATGTCTGTTTCACCTGCCTAGATGATAACCCAGTGATTGGTGTTTAGGATCATAGCAGAACTCACAAACTTTGGGTGAACTGGAAGTTGCAAAGTAAAGCATGATACTATCAAATACACTTAATATTAGTGAAATGGCTCCAGTTTCACATAACKTCAAAGAAATTGCTTCTTACTTGCCTTCAGTTTAGCTGTATGTGCCCACATGCAAACTGTGCCTTCTAAAGATACCTGAATTATGCTTGACAAATCAGTTTCTGAAAGGAAGCTGTAGTGGGTTTCCTAGTACATAGAAAGGATTTTTAATTTTCTTTTCTTTTTCTTATCAGAATTAGATTTCTTTTGCCATTACATTTTTATTTTTTATAATCTAGTTCATTTGTCTCTTAATATATTGCCACAGACAACACAAGAGCAGCCTCTTCCAAATAGTATTTATGCAGGTGATCTATGAGAAATTAATCCTTGCAATCAACTCTGCAACTTTTCAAATATTGAACAGTTTATGCTTTTTTTTCTTGTCACTCTGCTTTTACATAAAAGAGTGACTGAAGAGACCATATTTTTATCTTTTTAATGTTAATCTTTAAGTTGAAACTGAATTTTCTCTCTTAGTTGAGTTTTACTATTTAAGTACAAGAATTATTTTTTCTTAGTGTTGAAAGCTTTATAGAAAAGAACCCCACGAATCATTCACCTACCACATATTTTATTTAGTGATTCATGGTTTTTATTATTTAACTGATAGTTAATATTGAAATTTGCCTGCTGATTTGATTGGTGTTTGTATATTTTCGTAATCTTTCAGTGGAGAAAAGAATGGAATTAAAAGCAGTTTTGACATTTGTGTCATCTGTATGTAGTAGGATGCCAGTGTTTGTGCATGCTTTATTGTGTTAAAACTATGCTTGGAATTAAATTGCAATGCATTAGATTGAAATACTGCATGTAAGAAAATATCCATGTAATTCCCAACAGTCTGTACCAAATGTTGGTTAACCATGTTTGGATTTTTTAAATAAATATGGTGCATCATCATCTGGTTTTTTTTTTATTTCTTTGGTCAGATTTCCACATAGAGGAGGCTGTGGAGTGGCCTGGATTAGAGCTCAATCTAGGCCAAGTTTCTGGGTTGTCTCTGGACCCTGAAAATAACCTGGTTGTCTTCCACAGAGGTGATCGTGTTTGGGATGAAAAGTAAGTAAAGACATTTGCTGAATTGCAGATTAGAAGGTCGAATTCCTGTGTGCTGTTTGTATATCTTCTCAGGGAAAAGAAGATTGAAGTTCTTTTCCCATTTAAAAATTCAGTTCTTTGGCTGCAAGTGCCTTTCAGAGACTCAGAAGAGGTGACTGACAACTCAAGATGAGTTATTAGGATTTTAAAAGTAAGAACGTGTCTCCGGCTCCGGAGGAAAAGAACATAGTGCATTAGGTCCTTCAACTGTATGGCCACGTTAGTATTATATTCACCAAGATTAATTATCCCTACCTCTCCATATCTCTTAGCAGGAATAGTAAGCCTGGATGAATAATATTTTAGTATGATAAACTACAATTAGTACTTGCGTTTAAGACATGCAAAGCTATCTCCATTGTATCTTCATTCTTCTTTGTGTCTATATACAATGAATAAAATGGGATTGTTACAAGGTACTGTCTCAAAATGGACTTAGTTTTACTAATTTGATAAAATTTGCTGCATCAAGCATCACTCAAAGCAAGACATGTCCAAGCTTTAAAATAGTAGTTTTTCTAGTGTTTGTAAAGTTTTAAAAGTTATATTATTTTAAGAACAGAATTTTCAATTAAAAGATTGCTGTCATTATTTTACAGGGTTCTTACGTCTTTGATTATTAAAATTGTATATGTGTTTATATGGACACTTTAGAAATTGTAACAGACTACTGGGAAGAAATAGTCTAAGCCTGCAAGATATTTTAAAATACACTCTTCTAAAAAATTCTGCTTTTTTAAAAATCTTCTTAGTGTCTGTTCTCCATATGTATACATAGCTGTAAGGCTAAAGAGTGAGGCTGTTTTCAAATCCTGATGAATTAATTTTAAGATAACATAGTGTCTAAGTTTGCGACAATGTTTTCAGAGAAAAATGTTATAGGGTAAATGTTCCTTCTGAAGTGAAAAAATTTGATAATTTTTTCCCACCAATATGAAATAGATGTTYGGGCAAAAGTGAAAAGAAAAAGATAGTTTCTCAACAAACCAAGGTGCCCACAGGAGACAGATAAAAAAAAAGTAACTGCTAGATATTTAAAAGTACAGGAACCCTTGCTACCCACTCTCCCCACAGCTGCTCCGCACATGGTGCTGAGAAAGATGATGCGGCTCTTGTTCTAGGGAAAAGAAAAACACAAAAAAAAAAGTCCACGTGGTGGCTTGGGCAACAGGGGCAATCTGGTGGTAGTCCTCTCCTCACTGTGAATGAAACAGAGGACTCGGTGTGCTTTTCTGTTGCCAGCTTGGCTTCTTGTGGAGTCTGGGATGAGACAGAGCGGCGCAGCTTGTCCCCACCGTCTGATCAGTGCTTGCTTCCCGGTTTTTTGGACCAAAACCCCACCAAATTGCTCCAGAAGAAAATCACACAAGTCATAGAGGGGGTGGCAGTTCAGGGAGAGCTGTTTGCCCAAGCTAACAATCCCAAGCTAGATAAGCGGCAATAATGTAACTCCTCTGCACACAGTAAGGTGAGTTCTCGACACTGCAGCTGAGCTCCCAACAAACAGTGTGCATGGCAGCCCCGGCTTTTAACCGTCTGCGCTGGCTTCCCAGCCGCCCCTTCTTCTGGGTCACATTTAAAGGAACAAGCACATTTTGGGCATACAAGTAGCTGGAATTTAGGAATAGAATGTTATCATAAATCAACCCAAGACACATAGTGTCTGAAAAATAGGACAGTATTCTGAACATTATAATAACAAATTATGGTTAGAGTAGTGTTTTATGAAAGCAATTAAGTTATTTTAAGCTAAATAACATAATGCAGCAGTTCAGGCAAACATTCATTTCTTATAATCTTGTACATCAGTGATTAGCTCAAATTTATATTGACTAAAAAAATTGAAAGGACAGTGCATTATGCATCTTGTATTACTCAGACTCCAAGTATTCTGTAAAAGCTGATACTGAATTGAGTTCTTTTATCCTCCTATTCATTAACATAAGTGCTGTTCTTTATGTTGTTGAATAAAGAATTCTAAAAATATGTGAAAATAGGCTAGTCCTTCTGAAATACATATTTTAGAGTATCTGGAAGTTGAGGTATAGCAACAACCCAGAGCCCAAATCTTGAGTTTGAGATCAAGCAGTACCGGGAAAGCCTACTGATAAAAAAAAAAAAATAATAAAATTAACATTCTGTAAAACAACAAGTGAGCATSATGAATCAACCATGTTGAGAGACAGATAGAAATTCAGCTTCATTTTGGTGTGGCTGGAGAAGATTTGAGTTGTGATATGTAGTCTGGAAATCCATGTATGTACCAGCAGCACTCGGTAACATTATACATGGCCTTCCATAAAGATAACTACACATTAAATCCTAATTCTTGAGGGGTTTTGTTCACAATTCTTGTCATTTTTTCCTTCTTCTTGTGGAACATAATCAATGTGTAGGAAAGCTAGTGTTGGTAGGCATCCTTAAGTCAGCTGAACTAGGACCTCTGTAGGCCTTTATTGTATAGAGTATAGTGGCTTAGAAGTCTATTTTGAAAACATGCCTGTGGTTAAGCTGTTGTTCCACATCTTGTGCATGGAGAAGAGGCACACAGAAATGTGCTGTCTAAGTCAGCCTTCCCTTTTTATCTTTGGGTATACATGGGCATATGAAAGAGTTTGGGGACCCTTTCATGGGTTGTGGTGAAAAAGTAAGGAGTAATGGTTAAAAAATGGTGTAAAAAGAAAGGAGTAGAGAAAAAAAATGGTTTGTGAAAGGGTTTTATCATGACARTATTATGAGGGAGGCATAAGAAGTTACCAGACTTTTAAGTTAACATTTATCATTASCTGCAAGTACAGTTGAGAATAATATTCCTTACAAAATTGTAAACATGGTAAATCAATAGCCTGAAAGCCCAAAATTTATTTCTGTTTCAATGCTTCACCAGCTCAGTATAGAAGAAAATTAAAGAAAAACAGTCTATGCTGTTAGGCTATGCACAAATGTTTCCAATGCATTATTAACATATCCCACAAAAGCTAGATCCTCATTCAGCTAAATATAGCTGGTTGAATGATCTATGCTGCTGCACAAGGTAAATTCAGTCTGCTTTAGAGCACAAAAGCAGTTACGCAGTGACAAGTCCTGTAATACAGTAGCAACTTTGCAGTGGCTGTAGCATTCCTTCAGCACATGATTTAAAAAAAAAATTCTCCTACGTAAGTTAGGTTCTTGTATCGCGTTGCCTCTTCAGTTTCAGAACAGTCTTTGCTATATGCAGTATGTGTTGTGTAGCATGAAAAAATCAAAACTATTCAGCTGTCGAAACAATGAATCAGTTGGAAGTTATTTTGTATTTTGTGACGAAAAATGTGTACTATTCATCCAATTTATAAAGAACTTGTTAAATAATATGAGTTGCATTCTTGATACTGCATTCTTAACAAGGTAGGCAGGTTGAGCACAGTACCACAATGGTGATGGATATTCATCAAGAATAGACCTCAGGGTTGTTCTTTCAGGGCTTAGGAGATCGGGTGGTCTGTCTAAATTTAATATGTAGTCTACCAGGAAGATACTAGATCTAGCAATAAATTATTTGCGTTAGTGTGAAGTGGCCAGATGAGAAGTAGAAACGTTAATTGTGGAATACATTGGAGTTTGAAATTACAAGTAGTGAGATATGCGGTGGATTTTACTTGTCCTTCAGTAACAAAGCGCAGAACCTATGAGAAAACCATATTTCAGAGCAGTACAACTACTGTGTTTAGTTGTTCTGTTTGTATGGTTTTGGTCTCACTGCTTTTAAGCTAGAAGTCATCAGTACTGTTTGTGTTCTCATTTATCAGTTAAAATAAAGGAACATAGCCTGATAATTAGTCTCATACACTGGGAGGAAGCAAGTGTGATTCTGTAGCATGCTGATCATCCTCCTAGGAAAGAAGTTTGGCAGGGAGAAGATGAATAGGAGATCACTCCCATAAACCCATTTACAAGTTCACTAGAATTTCTTTGCATACCATACAATGTCTTATTTACACTGAAAGTGCTTAGTTCTCAGAAGAGCTGGTAAAAGCAGGAAATACTTAGGATTCTGGACAGTACCGTTGCTAAGAACCAAAATTGTAACAAGGAAAGCCAGTAATTATTTTAGGTTGTCTAAATAATCAGTTCTACAGACACACAATCATGTTCCCTGTGGCGTTCTTTTGTATGGTATCTACCATCACTAGGATTCTTTACTGTGATTATGCGTGCAGATTTTCTGCAATTTTCTGTGTAGACTAAAAATAAGATTAGTTCTGTCCATTGGTGATGCTCCACTTGTGGTCATCCAAACCTAGAGTAAGCCCTTACGAGTGTTAAGACTCCTTTTAAAATAAAACAGTTTAGAATTATGAGAACTTGCCATGGCAGATTACAGTCATGAATTCTGAAGAGCACCTGCTGAATCATGGTCAAACACAAAGGTACAACACCAGTGTAGGCCTTTGCATGTCACTGCCATTTACCCAGCGTCTCCCTATACATGATGGCAGAACTCTGGAGATAGTTTTAGTAGCTTTCATCTTTGGCTTAACTATTCATAGTGAAAAGGATTACTCCTATCAGAAATTATTGCTACCAGAAAGTAAAGAGTTACAGATAGCTACTAAATGCAATGGCAGTATCTAAAATACTATTTTTTAATCATAGCTTATGCAGAAACACATTCTGTTACAGATTTTTCTGGTTATATATGAAGCCAGTGTTGCCTCTCCACATTAAAAATTCCAGACATGTAAATATTTGGTGTTAAGGAGATGTGACACTGTTAGAACTGTACAATACATAGTTTTAATAGCTTTATTCAGAGCCTTCTCTGTGACTACAAAGTGTATTGTTTACCAAATGTCCTGGTTTTACTCAGTCTGATTTTTGGTGGTGGGGGATGGAACCAAGAAACCACAAAGATGGCTCCTGTGACAAAGTTCTAGAAGCATTCTCCTTCTCCAGTAAAAGGAGCCCTGCCCCCTGTGTTTCAGAACCAATCCATTATGGCTCTGAGGTTGATGGACAGTCTGTTAGTCAGGCCTGGGTCAATTGCACATGAGCATTACACCTCTGTGATGATGTGTACTCTTGTACTTAAGAAGAATTCAAAACAAGATAGATTGTGGCCGCCATTTAGCATTTAGTTAACTAAAAGTATCATGAACTGGGGGAGGACAGAAGAGGAGGGTGAGGAGATACGAGAAAAAATGGATACACAGTAAAGAGAAGACAGGTGCTGTGCTGTGGTACTTGAATATGGAGAAAACAAACTTTTCTTGAAAGGACTGTTCCTTCAATGGTAGACCTGTACAGAAAAGAGAGGCTCTGCACCCGAGATAAAAAACCTGGGCTTTGAGGACTGGACTGATCATAAGCCAAAAAGGGGGAAGAGGCTTGGCCCTCCCCTTCACATCTGAAGCGAGTTGATGCTTAGAAGAAATTGTGTCCTGTGGGGAAAGAGGTGGTTTCCACCCCCCC